AATACATTACCTCGGGCTGACCAATTCATTTGATCAAGTTCCTCTAGATATTCATACACTTCCTAGTATAATTGTAAACTTCCTGTTGAATAGTTTGAATGCACCAATCACCTTTGTTGTTTGTGCAACTAACCAATCATAAATAGAAAGGAAGTGGCCAGAAATGATCAAATACTTGGAATTGGCTCTTTCACAGGAAGTGTATGAATATCTCGAGGAACTTAATGAAATGAATTGGTCAGCCCGAGGTAATGTATTGAATCAATATTTGAGGAACACTTCAATTGGAACGACAGTAATGTTTTGAAAACCTGGAATTTCTTACAAAATGTGCTCTCAGAATGCTGCAAATGCCATTTCAGGGATCGAAATTTTAAAAGACCCCCCTACAAATCTCGTGCCTTCGGCATTCGCCCCCCCCCCTAAAATTCCGCAAAGTTTCCGCCACTGTGAAAAGCCCCTTTAGGGGAGTGTGAATAAAGTCAATAAACAATAAAAAAATGTTCTAAAATGTTTCGAAACTTTCACCAAATGTTCTTGAGCCTTGGAGTTCTCATCTTGTATGAGCCAATAATGTTCATGAATGGCAAACGCATTTTGAAGCCAGTTCAAAGTGTTTCTTATCTTACAGTAGTACGAAACCAGCCGCCATGTTGTTCATCAACTACTTTTTTTGAATTTGTTCGATTTAAATCCGCCCCCGGGTACTCAAATGCGAATGCTTGCAATGTTCCTTTCGTTTTTCAAGTAACTCCTTGATTTGAAAACCAAAATAAACCGGAGACAGGTCATGAAAACAGTGAACACAAGTCATGTGATCAAAATGATTGAACAATTTGGTCACGTGATATGAACAAAATTTTTTACTTTGGCAATTTTGGTAATACTGTAATTATTTACGAGACTATCGCGAGGCATAAACACATGGGGCTTGATCCCCAAACACGCGTGTTGGTTGTTGACTGGTTGTTCGAAAGCTGTTTAGCTTATAAGCTTAACCATAGGTTAACAATGTCATTAAACCAAAATTCAAAGCAAACTTCCCAACTAGCTTGGTTAAAAATGTATTATTTAAGACACGACATTTATCGTTAGAATGCCATTGTGGGTCGAAGCTCAGCCTCCATCAGTAATAGATATATTGTGCCTGTATGATAATTCGGTCTGTAATATGACTGTTTCACAAACCTGCTGTTACCCAAACACAAACCATGATGTAGTAATCAAACAATCTTTACAGTTATATATTTTCCTTTTTTTCAGTGGCGAAGCTGAGGGTATTTGACTAGTCATGCTTTAAGAGTTGCACAGGCTAGGGGGGGGGGTTTCGGGTATGCACCCCCGGGAAAATTTTGATTTTCGAAGTCTGGAATGGCCATTTCCTGCGATTTCAGGGTGAAATTCGTCCAAAGAGAGCAACAAAAAAAGCGTGATATAAAGAGGAAAATTCTTAATACTTTTTGTTTTTGAAATTTGCAATAGCACATTTACTTTGCAAAAGATTTCTAATAGCATTAATAAGGTAACTTTTACCAGTTCCTGCAGCACCATTTATAATGAGACATAATGGCTCCATCTCGGATGATATATCATCAAAATGAGACTTAACAATATTATAAGCAAGTTTTTGCATTTCACTAAAACTGTTGATGTCAACAACAACAACATTTCTTGGATTTGTTGTTCTGAATAATTGGCTCTGTCAAGATGCCAGTCATATGTGGACTCTGGTGTTGGTTCAGAGTTGTCAAAAGGAGTATTGAGGTCTGATAATATCATCCACTCTTCTTGAGTTGTCTCCTGTTCTTCAGAGGGTTCATCTTCTGATTCTTGAGTTTGCATAACAGCTTGTGATTTATCGAACCAGTCTGGGACATTAGGGCCCCGATTACACTATACCGGATTGCATCGAAGCGACGCGATTTCTGTACCGGATTGGCCTCTTGTTTACACTACGCCACTGTAATCCGGTACGTGCCGCGGCGCGAAAATCACTTCGCTTTGGAAGTGATATGAAAAGTAATCCGGTACGTGCTGTACCGGATAAAACCAAGTGTAATCAGGCAATCCGGTACGCTCCGGTACTATAAATAGGTTTCGGCAAGTATATTTTAACATTGTCGTTTTATTTACTCGCTTTTAAATATTTTATAGCTGTTGTTTGCTTCGCTTTACAATTATTTATTATTTCTAGCGAAGACAAATAAAGATAGCGGTAATAACACTGACTTCTTGCTTTCAAAAGGGCAAAATTTTAATGAAATACTCGTTAATTTTCGATAAGAGCGAGACAAAGCAACGTCGGGTGGTCAAGCCTTGTAAACAAAGTTATAATTCACAAGTACTGTCGAGAAAACGTCCAAAATAGTCAAAACTTATTATATGTTTCCGTGGCAACGATAAAAGATACGAGCTGGCAACAGAGCGAAGCGGCATAGTGTAAACACCCTTGATTTTGGCTTCGGTGTGAAAATTGATCCGGTATGAAAATCAATCCGGTATAACCACTGAGTATTCTAATAAAATACAAAACAATGGAAACTCCAAAGAAATTCATATTTTTAATTATATTTTATATATATATATATATATATATATATATATATATATATATATATATATATATATATTAAAATTTAATGAACTTAGTCCATTATTTAACTGACTAAGACTTAAGTCCCTGGTTGAATATATATAAATAAATAAATATATATATATATATATATATATATATATATATATATATATATATATATATATATATATATATATATATATATATATATATATATATATATATATATATATATATATATATATAGAATTAGGTTTCGTTGTTTACAAAAACATTTGGCAGAGTGCTCAATGGATATCCAGAGCATAATTAAACAAGACGCTCTGTTGAGCGTTTAGTCGCTGGGATTCTGCGCTTATTGCTCTCTCTTCTGAGAGCAGTGTATAAGCGCAGAAGCCCTGGGTATGAGGTTGATATCATTTATTGGATTTATCTGGCTTAGGCCAACTTCGAGGACACTGGAAACCAGGCTTAAACAAATTTATTGCAACTCCACATTTTGACCCTTCAACTGATTTTCTCAAAAAATTTAATGCCACCCCCCCCTTCTAGTAAATTATTTATACTCATGGGGTCATGGCCCCACCTTTTGCCTCCCCCTCCCTCTTCCATAAATAAGGACTGGTCCCTAACTGCAGGAAAAATATGTGCACTTCACAGAACATTTATAACAATTCATAATTTATTACTTTTGCCTCAGGCTGGGTAACCACAACAGAAGTTGCCAAATAGGCCCTTTGAAGGTTAGCTTGTATGTCAGGCTCGATGCTTGAAATAGAGCCTGTTATACCCTGTGAGCAAAGTCCTCTCGTATTTCTTCTCGGCACGGCACAGAGAAGCGAGAGAGACTCTGCAGAACTTGTGTATAAATTCATTTGAGCATGCGCGAAGGTTGCTAAGCAACTGCCTATTTCCCAGAAGAAGATTTAATAAGTAGTTTCCGGTTCGGATCAAAACCGGTTATAAAACTGGTATCAAACCTGAAATTACTCATAATTATCCAAGTTTTTGGATTGTCGGCTCCACAAAGAATATACACAAGTTCTGCAGAATCTCTCTCGTGCTGAGAAGAAATACGAGAGGACTTTGCTCGCAGGGTAAATCTGTTACTGAAGTCAATAAAAAGTGGACAGTGATTGGGATGCACAAAAATAACAACCAATCAAAATGGCGATTGTTAATTACGTATCAGTCAATTGCAGCAGTACCCATCCCCCCTGGGAAGAAAATGGCTATGTCTACAAGCCATTTGCAATCAAATTAAATATAAGTTTTCCAGCAAATCTACCAAATCTCCCATGATGGAAAATGTCAAAATCCTCACCTCAGGGCAAAAAAATATCGGCAATAGCCCCACCCCCGTGATTAAGAAAAGCTGCAAAGGCCCAGGGGTGGGAACTGCTGGAATTAATTGATACATTAGATTATCAAAGCCAATTTAAAATATGACAATAACGGCCAACTTTTCCACCAATATCTCAAAACTAAATATTCCAATTTTCATCGAATGGCCAGGAATTACATATTAAATAATGATAATAATAACTGTTATTGACCGCAGCAAAGGCAGACAGGCAGTCATTAACATGGCCAAAAGTAGTTAAAGTACAATTACAAACTACGGAATATTATTACGTAAACAATAATTCGGCATTACCTTAAAAACAAAGCTATTTATTTCTGACCAATGGGAATTTTTCGTACGAATCATGTGCATCAATCCTTTTTACTGACCTCAGTAGCAGGCTTTATTTCAAGCATAGAGCCTGACACGCTAGTTACTTTTAATAACCGATAATCCACTTTTAATACATTGTTTTCACCATTGTGTCTATACAACCTTGCAAATTTACTAGTGGGAATTTCCATTGTGTTTGCAGCCCTTACACTCAGTGGCGTGCTGGCAGGGGGGGCCGGGGGGCCACGGTCCCCCCAGCTGGCAATTCTTGGGGGGCGCAAAAATGAAAATGGGGCGCCGAATTTTGAAAGTGGGTGGGAAAAAACGCATTCTCGAAAAAATATGGTTACTTCCGCCAAGAAAAGACATGTTTATAGGCTACAGTATAAAACAGACTAAGCGCATATAGGCGACATATATTAAATTACAGACTATTTTGCCTATAACCGTATTTGCTACCTCACAGCTCACACGAAATCGTTCATATAGAAACATGATCAGTGATCACAGGCAATGTCTCATTACCGGAATATTGGTCAGGTTTCGATCGATGCGATCACAGGAATTATGCCCTTTTTTGCTGGTATTATGCCCTTATATTATACCCTTTATTATGCTTCACGAATCACGAGAGCGGCGCAAATTAGATAGTTGAAGTTATGATAACTGATGTTTAGTTGTGTACGCAATTTAGTTGTTTGCACAAGAAGCATGAGTAATGTAAGCAATGAAATAATGCTGAAACATGCCCTTTTGGCAGCCAGGCAAGGAAACCTTAAAATGCATATGCGTGGGTTGCTTGTGTTATTGTATAAAAGAGCTTTAAGTTGTAAATGTACTCAGAACAGTAGATCAGTAGAGAACAGAATTGGGATTAGATTAATCGCTGGAAGTAGTTAGCATTGCATAATTTAAGTACTGCTACTAAATTCTAACCGAATTGCAAATTTCGACACGTTATAATGCCGTTTCCTGACCATCAGATTTCTGTCAAATCTTCCCCCAAAGTCCAGGAAATGGCATTTCAGAGACTCTAAATTCAAAAATTTTCCTGGGGGCATGCCCCCGGACCCCCCTAGACAAACCTCGCACCTGCGGCACTCGGCTCGTGCCTTCGGCCCTCGTTTATCAAGTGTAACATTATAGGGGCGCATATTGGTTGACAGCCCACTGGCCCCTCCAGAAAAATAGTACCCAGCACGCCACTGCTTACACTTCGTGTTTCATTATGGCATCTTGACCTTGAAAGAGTCTATTACTGTGGCTCCAACATTTTCCCGTTCGGCGTTACATTCGACAATACATTGATCATAAAATGACTGAAATATCACAGATTTAAAAGCCTGACACCTAGCGGCAAAGTTTAAATTTCACACAAGTAGTGATGACTGATGAATGGTGATCACTGCATGTGGTTGTATTTCGGTCTTGTTAGGCTACACCATGTTCTTTTGACCACCTATCCGTAACAGGATTATTTGCATCAACAGCCATAAAAAAGCACCCAAATAAACAGCAGTTTGCGAATATTATTGTTGCGATTTACAAAGGTTGCGGCCCGTTCCAACTTTGTAAAATTGAAAATTGTAAACTTTTTTCCTCTATTTCAAGCTTGTAGCCTTCCAAGTTTACTCACATAAAATGACTTTCGCTTTATAAAGTCTGTTTCATCAGAAAACTTTTAAGGTTCATCGAAAAAATAAAAAAAATATGTACAAAATCGATGATACCATTCGCTCGTAGTAAGCGGCCATCTTGAATTCAGCGACGAATAGTAATGACGTAATTTTATTTTTTATTAATGACGTAATTGTCATTTTGTGGCTAACCATCCAAGATCCGACACAAATGCGTGCCGAAACCTAGAGTCGCTGCGGGCTCTGCCCAGCGACTAATAAGTGCAACGACTCAACAAATTCCACTGGGCATCTTTATTACTATTAGTTTCATACCACAAGATGTGGCACTCATCAGATAAATTAGCCTTAAGGCTAATAGCCTTAAGGCTAATAAAGTGCTCAATACTAATATTATAGCAGAGCATGATATATTTATATCTTAAAATTAATTATTGCTACTCAAGTTTCACGCCTTATTATTACGTTGGCCTCTCATGAAGTGAACATCTCCACACAAGAGCATACGATTAAAATGAATTCTTCTAGAGTTATTAACACCTTGTTCGGCTTCTTTGGCCGAAAGAAAAACAAATTAATTTGGACAGGAACACTTGGAGATCTTAAAGCTTTCGTTCTGACGATAATTGATGAGCAAGCAGCCCAAAGTTCGAAATGGCATTCACCTAGCGGCGGAAAGTGGTGCTTCAATAGCGAGCAGCTAAAGTTGAGTGGCACTCAAAGAGCGAATCTATATCCTTTGATGGAGCCAAAGCAAATGATTTATGTGATCAAATACATAGTGTCCTTTTAAAATCTGATTATCAAAAGAAAGATCAAAACAGCGACCTTAACAAGTCATTAGAATCCTTCATAGCTGACGCGAGCGTCGAAGCGTGCAATATTAATTTGAACGAATCGCCTAGATTATATACTTCTTTACTGCAAGTCAGTAATGTATCCTGCCTAAATAGCAAAGATATCAATTGTGATGAAAGCCCCAGTAATCCTGAATTTGAAATGGCAAATTCTAAATCTGGTGCAGGCGAGAATCAATTATCCCCTCTCATTCAACACACAGACGAACGGCGTGATGTGTTTAGGCAGTGCGAGTATAAAAAACATAGTTATGCTCATCGGGGTTTACGTGAATCGGAAACAGTACACATGCAAGACCCTGATGCTACGAGCGGTGGTCCTTGCTGTGCCGATTGTATCAAGCAAAGATGGGAAATTGATAATCTAAAAACAGAAATTACTTGTCTTAAGAAATTTGTTTATCGCGAAGGAGACAAAGCTGACAAGTCAAGCATGGATATGCAAATTTCCCGCCTTCAACGCGATAATTCAACCCTAATCAAAACAGTCGAAATGCTAAGTAGACAATTGTTAAATCAAAACGAAGAGAATTCCACCAACGTCTCAAGTGAATCAGATGTATATGTAAACCCACGACATACGAAAGAGTCGGATATCCCTTCAACTTCGTCTAAAGAAAAGGAAAAGAAACTGAGAAAAAAGAAGAAGAGAAATGTAAATGAGTCATCGTCACAGTCAGGGGTTGACCCACCTAAAGAAATTGTAAATAAAGCTGCTGGTAATCCATCAACTTCGACCGGTAACCGTAAGCCAGTAGTGGTAATCGCTGGCGACTCAATAGTAAAGAATGTAGTTGGACCATCTATGAGCAAATCTGACGCAGACCACCTCTACGTTGTTAAATCTTTTTCTGGCGCAACTATTTCCGACATGGAGGATTTTATCAAACCTACAACCCGCAAGTCACCGGACAAAATTATCCTCCATGTTGGCACTAATGATCTGAAAAATTCTACGCCGAAAGTTATTACCGATTCTATTTTGAATCTGACAACCCAAATCAAAGAGGATTCTCCTAACTCCATGGTAGGTGTTTCTGCGTTGTTAATCAGAAATGATTGCCCGATATTAGCCACCAAGGTTAATCAAGTCAACTCCACCTTAGAAAATCTTTGTCATATGAACAATATTCCCTTCCTTAAAAACGCTAATATTAACACTAGTCACCTCAACAGTAGAGGTCTCCATTTAAATAAATTAGGCAGTATATCCCTCCAAAGCAATTTCAAAGAGTTTATAAATAACTTAGAAAATTGACATGATATTACGTTGTCTAGAGTTGCTAATTCAGTAAATAATGTTCAATCTAAGACTATGCAAACTACTTCTAACATTCAAAACCTGCTCTTGCCAAACAGGAGTGGCTTTAAACTTGCCTCACTTAATATCACCAGTTTAGTCAAACATATTGATGAGCTTAGAATCTATCTATCAAATAATGTGATTGATGTACTGGCTATTAATGAGACAAGGCTTGACTCTACGGTTGGTGACAACGAAGTACATATACCTGGATACGAAATTGTTAGGCGAGATAGAGATTCCAATGGTAGATTTGGCGGTGGGGTTTGTTTTTATATTCGTAGCTGTATAAATTTTTCAGTTCGGCATGATCTATCTTTTGAGCAATTGGAAAACCTGTGTATTTCAGTTAATAAACCTAGAGCCAAGCCTTTTCTTATTACCACTAGGTACAGGCCTCCTAATTCGCCTGTAGCAATGTTTAATTATTTTGAAATTCTTCTAGGTATGCTCGATTCCGAAAATATCGAGTATTACCTCATGGGCGACTTCAACTGTGATTTGAGCTCTACAGTCTTAGATCATGATTCGAAGTCACTCATGGATATTGCCGATTTATATACTCTTTCTCAGCTTATAAATGAACCTACTCGAATCACAGACTCCTCCTCAACATTGTTAGATCATATTTTCACAAATACTCCTGACAAGGTTGTTTGCTCTGGTGTTTCTCATGTGAGTATAAGCGATCATAGTCTTATTTCCGCCTTTCGCAAACTTTCTGTGGGTTCATCGACGGAGTACATTCTTCAATAAACTACAGAAAGTTTAAAAACTTTGATTCTACTAAATTTCGTAATGATATTAGTCAACAGAGTTGGAACTATATCAATCAGTACGAAAACCCTAATGACATGTGGCATGCTTGGAAAGCCACATTCAATTCTGTCGCAGATAAGCACGCCCCAATTCGAGCTAAGCGCGTTAAGGCTATTAAATCGCCTTGGATCACATCTCTTTTGAAAGATAAAATGCATAGGCGAGATGTCCTAAAAATTAAAGCAATTCGTTCCAACGATACTCAAGATTGGCTTTCTTTTAAAAAAATGCGTAATTTTGTTAATTCTGAAATCTTCTACGCAAAGCAAGCCTATTTCAAAAATTCTTTCAATGATAATAAAGACAATCCTAATAAGACCTGGAAGATCATTAATGAACTTACTTCTAAAAATAGGAAAAGCCCTCACATTGGCGAGGTTGATTTGAATGGCGTATTAATTAATAACCCTAGCAAAATTGCTGATGCGTTTAACGATCACTTTTCAAACATCGGACCAGACCTTGCAGATAAAATTAATCTTAATTATAGCAATCGGTCTTATCTTGATTATTTACCTAACCAAAATAATGCTATTTTTCAACTGAGGGAAATAAGTATTCCAACCGTTTACGCATTACTGTCCACGTTAAGCACTTCTAAAGCAACAGGTTTAGGCAGAATATCTTCTAGGTTAATTAGAGAATGCTCTGACTTAATTGCAGAATCCCTCTGTCTTATTTTTAATCGTTCTATCACTACAGGCATATTCCCAAACGAATGGAAATGTGCTAAAGTTATTCCTATATACAAACAAGGCAAACGCAATTGCGTTGATAACTATCGTCCCATTTCTATTGTTCCTATTGTGGCTAAGGTTTTTGAAAGGGTAATTTATGATCAGCTATATACATTTATAGCTGAAAATGAATTATTAACTAATTATCAATCGGG